TCCAGTCTGGGCGACAGAGTGAGACTCCAACTCAAAAAAAAAAATTAGAAATATCACAATGACTCTCACCAGGCCAAAGACCATGCTCAAAAAATATTGGCAGGGGCCAGGCATAGTGGCTCACATCTATAATCCCACCACTTAGAGAGGCCAAGGCGGGAGGACTACTTGAGCACAGGAGTTTGAGACCAGCCTGGGCAACAAAGCAAGCCCTAGTCTCTACCAAAACAAAAAAATCAGCCAGATGTGGTGGTGTGTGCCTGTAGTCAGAAATCATTTGTGAAGCACTCAACATGGTATTTAGGGATTCTAAATTCTTTCATTCCAAAAATAGAGGAACCCTAATAGGTTTCAAGGACTAAAAGAAGAATTTAAACTACAAGCAGACTAAAAAGAGCCTGGTTACCTTGTGCTGTTCTGGGACAGGCGTGGTGCACTTATATGAGTAATCCAAGCCCATTTCCCCAAATGCCACTGCCTTGGGGTGCCTTAAGGCTTGCAAAAGATTTCTTTCTTGACTCTCACTGTAGTAACGTGCAAAATGAGGGTGACAACCAAAGGCCCCCCAAACCAGATCCTCTTTCAACAGCTCCTCCCACAGGCAATCTGTCAGTGTCCGAGGATCACAGAAGTCAGAGATGCAGCCCTGAAACTCCTTCGGGAAGGAGCTGCTGTAAATTTTTCTGAACTTAGTGAAGGTCCCCTTGAAAGACAACTTGGAATACAGCATGTCCAAGTGACAGTGGGTGTCAATGAAACCCTCCTCTAGACTCAGCTCCCTGTGGCTCCTGGGCAGGGAGCTAGATGCGTGCCCTCCACAAGGACGTGGAGGCATTTCCTCTTGGAATGTTCTTTTCTCCTTCACCTCTTTTTCGTCTGAACTTCTGGAGAAGTGAAATGAACGAGAATTTTGGGATCTGCCTTCCTCGGTGGCTTCCAAGTCTCTGGAAGTCTTTTGAGAGCTCACTGTAGAGTTGGGGGAATAATCACTCAGGAGATTCCGGCTGCTCCCGCCAGCCTGGGCCGTGTCACTGCTGCTGCCCACGGAGTGGTAGCCTGAAGACTTGGGGCTCCTGGTCCAATAGCTGGCATAGTCACACCAGGGACTACTGTACAAATGAGGCGGGTACATGACATAGTCAGTGGTGAAGGAAGAAGGCTCTGGAACTGCTGAGAGCTTCAGCGCGACAGGCTCCTCCTGAGAGAATCTGACTGTGGAGATCTCATCCACATCAGACCAGTCGCTTCCTGAAGAGGGTTGCTCTATCACCACCTCCCTATCCTTATGCTGCAGAAAAGAAATAACAATGGGTTAGCCTTCCTGTGTAAAGACAACCTCCCACACTCAGTCATCAGCAGAACATAAACTCTAGCTTGTTTTTCTGGCCGTGGTGAAGGCTTTGCATTGACTCATTAGCTGATCATCACCTGGTTTCCTTAAAATATCCAGAAATTTCCAGAACTAAGCCAGGCTACACTGCAGGTTACAGCTGTGAACAGTCATATCAGGTTCAGGGAATAAACCTGCAACCGTGGTCTCATAATGCCACTCCTCAAGTTGCTGCTACAGCTGCACACCCTTTATGATCCCGCTTGAGAAAAACTGCTTTCTAGAACACTCTGTGTTGGGGATTTTGGGAAAAAAGCGCCTGCTTCTCATCTCTAACAACATCTCCAATATATTCAAAATGCAAAGCCACAATAGTTGCAACCGTTTTAAAATGCATCCCCAAATTATTTGACACTATTCTCCATTGGCAAGTAAAGTCTGTGACCTCTCCCTTGAACCTGGACCAAGCTGGAGACTTGTAACCAACAGAATGTAGCAAAAGGAAAGCTGTGTACTTCTAAGGTTAGGTCAGAATGGCCTTGTGGCTTCCATCTAGTTCTCTCAACTTGCTTACTCTGGGGAAGCCAAGCACCATATAATAAGTCAGACCACCCAAGAGCACCTGGCTAGAGAGGTCACATGTAGGTGTACCAGTCTACAACCTGGCTGACCTCGCAGCTGACAGCCAGCATCAGTCAGCTATGTGAGTGATTATCTCAGGCATCCAGCCCAGTCAAGTTTCTGGATGACTGCAGCCCTTGCCAAGATCTGAAAGGAACATGAGACTCTCCAGGTGAGAACTTCTGGGTCTAGACCTTTCTGATTTCTTGACCCACAAAATTGAAAGTAAAATAAATGTTATTTTAAGCCACTAACTAGCAATAGTAACCAGAACAATCATATCTGGCATTAAAATCAAGTTAGCCGTACTAGAATTTAAGCTCTATGTAGTCAGAAATCTTTATTTTTTTTCACTAATGTCTACCAAATGCCTAGAACAGTGCCTGGCATATAGTAAGTGCTGACAAATATTTTATTGAATTAATTTGTAGAATAAATGGTACAACGGTTCCCATACTTGGTTTCATATCATCACCATCTGGGATGTGTTTTAAAACAAAATTTTAAACCGGGCTCGGTGGCTCAGCCTATAAGCTCGTGCTTTGAGAGGCTGAGGTGAGCGGATTGCCTGAACCTGCGGGTTTGAGACCCACCTGGGCAACTTGGCGAGACCACATCTCTACAATAAATCAAAAAATCAGCCGGGCGTGGTAGTGCGTGCCTATAATTCTGGCTACTCAGAAGGCTGAGGTGGAAGGATCGCCGGAGCCCAGTGGGTCGAGGTTGCAGTGGCCGGGAGCGGCCACTGCACTCCAGTCTGGGCAACAGAGCAAGACTCCAATTCAATAAATAAATAAATAAATAAATAAAACAAAATTTTATAGCCTGCTCCACCCTGAGATATTGTGATTCAATAAGTGCAGAGTGGGGCAAAGGAATCTGTATCCAATTCTGCACAGTCTTAAGGCAGTGAGAAATACAATAAGCACACAGGTATCAACTCATGCTTAAAAAAAAACACTTTGCTTAAGTACCATCATTTTTCTCCTTGCAAAAGAAGCCATCTACATCTACCAGTGCCAGATGGCTTAAGCAAGAGGCCTTAAAAAGTTCTTGTTTTAATTTTTTTTTTTGAGTTGGAGTCTCACTCTGTCACCCAGGCTGGAATGCAGTGGCATGCTCAAGGCTACTGCAGTCTTGACCTAATGGGCTCAGGTGATCCTTCTGCCTCAGCCTTTCAAGTAGCTGGAACCACAGGAGCATGCTGGAACGGCACTGACGCACATCCAGGAGCACAGTCATGCACTGAGGCAATGAGCCTAGCATCGTGCCCTGCATCCCGTCTCCCTGCCATCACTCTGGGACCCTGTTTACACAGAAAGTTTCATATGCAAAAAAAATTTTTTTTTTTTTTGAGTTGGAGTCACACTCTGTTGCCCAGACTGGAGTGCAGTGGCCAC